ATTTATTTTTGTGTATTGTGCAATCAAATCCTCGGTTTTCGTTTCACACATACATCACCATAAACTCAAGCATGCATATATATATATATATACAGTACTGTGCAGAAGTCTTAGGCTACTAGTATTTTCACCAACAACAAAAAAAAGGTTTTAAGTCAGTTATTTCTCTCGTTTGCTGTAGTGTGTCAGTAGGAAATATCAGTTTACATTCCCAAACATTCCTTTTGCCATTAACTGTAATAATGCAGTGATATTTTTGCATGTTTAGGAGTCTGACAGCAGCCAGTGCTGCACACAGAGATCTGATCTGATCATCATCCGGTCCTTCTGAGATTACATGAAGAAACTGAGACAGACTCGATCCAGAAGAACTGTGGCAGCGTCTCCTAAACGCTTGAAGAAACCTCCTGCAAAGCTCCCTGAAAAACTATGCACACGTGACACACGCAAAGTGTGCTCACACACCAATGTTGATTTGATTTAGTTATTAGCAGTTCACTGATAAATAAAATCAATTTATAACATTAATTTTGAAAGCATCCTCAGTTTGCAGCATTAATACACAAGTACTATAGTTTTTATTCACACTGCCTGTGTTTACAAACCAGTGGTTCCCATGATGCAACAGTGAAATGTACTGTGTGTCTCAGAAACTGACCAGCCTCAGCTGTGAGTGATTATGCTCCACTTCCTGGAAAGAGGGCAAAACAAGGAGCTTGGTGATGATCATTGACAACAGACGTAATGTTTAAGGCAGAGTAAAGGAGAGTCCAGTAATTTTGGTAACTTAAAGAGCTCTAAGAGGCTGCTTTAAATTTATTTTTGTGTATTGTGCAATCAAATCCTCGGTTTTCGTTTCACACATACATCACCATAAACTCAAGCATGCATATATATATATATATACAGTACTGTGCAGAAGTCTTAGGCTACTAGTATTTTCACCAACAACAAAAAAAAGGTTTTAAGTCAGTTATTTCTCTCGTTTGCTGTAGTGTGTCAGTAGGAAATATCAGTTTACATTCCCAAACATTCCTTTTGCCATTAACTGTAATAATGCAGTGATATTTTTGCATGTTTAGGAGTCTGAAAAAGGTTTTAAGTCAGTTATTTCTCTCGTTTGCTGTAGTGTGTCAGTAGGAAATATCAGTTTACATTCCCAAACATTCCTTTTGCCATTAACTGTAATAATGCAGTGATATCTTTGCATGTTTAGGAGTCTGACAGCAGCCAGTGCTGCACACAGAGATCTGATCTGATCATCATCTGGTCCTTCTGAGATTACATGAAGAAACTGAGACAGACTCGATCCAGAAGAACTGTGGCAACGTCTCCTAAACGCTTGAAGAAACCTCCTGCAAAGCTCCCTGAAAAACTATGCACACACGCAAAGGGTGCTCACACCAAATGTTCATTTGATTTAGTTAATAGAAGTTCACTGATAAATAAAATATATTTATAACATTAATTTTGAAAGCATCCTCAGTTTGCAGCATTAATACACAAGTACTATAGTTTTTATTCACACTGCCTGTGTTTACAAACCAGTGGTTCCCATGATGCAACAGTGAAATGTACTGTGTGTCTCAGAAACTGACCAGCCTCAGCTGTGAGTGATTATGCTCCACTTCTTGGAAAGAGGGCAAAACAAAAAGCTTGTTGATGATAATTGACAACAGACGTAATGTTTAAGGCAGAGTAAAGGAGAGTCCAGTAATTTTGGTAACTTAAAGAGCTCTAAGAGGCTGCTTTATAAACCTATTTTCTGATCCACACTCCGGAGCAGAAGGTGGCGGTAATGCACCAATACGCTGGATGCCAACCGCCGTAAAAATATAAGAAGAAGAAGAAGAAGAAGAGGTAACGGCTGGACCAATCAGCTCTTGCGCTCGGGTGACGTCAGCATGACGTATTTATGAAAAATGGCGGCTACCCGCAGCAGCGAGTTCGGCGACTTGGTTCAAATAAAAAAACAACTTATTTCTATTATAGCGCAGTGTAAGGAAAGAGGACTCGTCCACAGTGTGAAATGGTAAAAGATATTCTATTTATAGTTTAACACATGTCAGGAATACAGCCAGTTATTTAACTGCATGTCGTATTGGGTTAGCATGACAGCTAGCGGAATGAAGTAAACATATCAGAGCTGAATGCGAAACCTAGACTCGTACACGAACACTAGCGTGTTATTTGACACTCCGTTTTAACACAGCGGTACATTTTAAAGTACTGTAGACTGTACTCTTTGAAATACCTTTGGAATATAAACACGACGCTCATTCAGTGTTAGCATGATACAGCACGAGAAGACGAGAAGGAAATATACTCATCATATTCCCCTGTTGTGTTTTCTGAATATGTTAAATAGCTGGAATATGTCTTGTAGAAGCTTCCAGTAAACGGAAGAAAATCTGAATAATAATGAATATGCAATAAGTGGGGGTGGATATGTCTGTATGCATGCAAATGAAGCTGTTGTTTGTGTTTCAGGGCATCAGAACTGGCTTTTTCTTTGGATCCACTCCCTCTGAATGAGATCCCTCCAGCGCTGGAGCTCACCGAGGTCAGTCTGGAGTCCTGAAGCCCCTCACGCTCAGTGAAGAACTAGTTAAATGCATATAAGACCACTGACCGCCTTCTTTCTTCCAGGAGGACGCCCGGGATTTGGATGCCCTGTGTCTGGCCAAATCATACTTTGAGCTGAAGGAATATGATCGAGCTGCTTATTTTCTCCGCGGCTGCCGGAGTCAGAAAGCATATTTTCTCTATATGTATTCGCGCTACCTAGTGAGATGTTTGGCTCTTGTTTTTATGTGAATGTTTTAGATCCCGTCTCTTTGGAGATGAAATGTGAACAAAGCAATATACTTCTTTATTCTCTCAGTCAGGCGAAAAGAAGAAAGACGACGAGACCGTCGACAGCCTGGGTAAGAGTAAGCGTTTTAAACCGTGTTCCCGGCGGAGATGGTCTCGTCATCAGCATGTGTTTGGTTGCAGGTCCTCTGGAGAAGGGTCAGGTCCGAAACGAAGCCCTGCGAGAGCTCAGGGTGGAGCTGAGCAAGAAACACAGCGCCGGAGAGCTGGACGGATTTGCGCTCTATCTGTAAGTATCAGATTAGTTCTCAAATAGTGGGTTGTGACCAGAAACGGAGGTCTGTCCTGATTGATTAGCCGAGATTACCACTGGTTGTAGAAAACGGTGATCTTCTGGTGCTGTTTGTTAATATCATCCTGATTGGACACCAGTTATGGGGTGGTTCTGCGGAAGCTGGATTTGCTGAAGGAGGCGGTGGAGATCTTTGTGGCGGCGACACATGCTCTGCCTCAGCACTGGGGATCCTGGCTGGAGCTCTGCAATCTCATCACCAACATCGAAATGGTACAAATGTTTCTGAAGCCCGCTGTGCGCATTGTGATTCGTGGCATGTACGCTGAAACAGAAGCTGGTGTGTGTGTTGTGTGCTCCTCAGCTGAAGTCCCTGTCTCTGCCGGAGTGCTGGGTGAGGGATTTCTTCATGGCACACATGTTCACCGAGCTGCAGATGATCAAAGAGGCGCTGCAGAAATACCAGAGTCTCATGGAAGCAGGGTTTGCTAAAAGCACATACATCATCTCCCAGATCGCCGTGGCTTACCATAACATACGAGGTGAGGGATATCTGCAGCAAATACACTAGCAGTCAAACGCTTTTGAACAGTAAGATGTTTTCTCTTCTGCTTATCAAGCCTGCATTTATTTGATCAGAATTTGAAATACAGCAAAAGCTGTAATATTGTGAAATATTTTTACTATTTAAAATAACTGTTTTCTATGTGAATATGTGTTAAACTGTAATGTATTCCTGTGATGCGCAGCTGTATTTTCAGCATCATTACTCCAGTCTTCAGTGTCACATGATCTTCAGAAATCATTCTAATATGCTGATTTGCTGCTCAAGAAAACCCATTTATTATTATTATGTTGAAAACGGCTGAGTATAATTTTTTCAGGTTTCTTTGATGAATAGAAAGTTCAGAAGAACTTATCTGAAATATAAATCTTTTGTAACATTATAAATGTCTTTATCATCACTTTTGATCAATTTAATGTGTCCTTG